GCTTTAAGAGATTTGTTTTAATTTCCTAAGACCACTCGGCCGCTGGGGTTGAGCCCCCCTTTCGGAATTATTCGATATCAATGACCGCGCTTCCGTTGCTGGTACTATTTTCGAATTTTGATGGTCCTTTTATCATACCTACTCTTATTAAGCTCTTGCTATATCCTGCAGACAAGATCTGTTGCCAGGTCGGTTAGTCGAAAGAGTTGGAGAACTTACCTCGCCTACAAGGTCCTATTTTCCGTAGCGTGCAAGTGCAAAGCCCGGGCCATTGTCAGGAGCCGGGTCCGCGCCTCTGCTCGCTCAAGGATCGGCCTGGGCCTCCACCTCCCTTCGCGGGGAGGTTTTTTTGGGGGTGCCCTTTTAAGGGTGCCTACAGTTGGCACCCGGGGCGGGAGGGTGCCTACGGTTGGCACCAGGGGCGGCTAGGGGGTGCCTACGGTTGGCACCAGGGGCGGCTAGGGGGTGCCTACGGTTGGCACCCGGGGCAGCGAGGGGGTGCCTACAGGCACAAAAAGGTTGGGACCACTGATGTATAAAATATAATTTCGAAATTTCAGCGACACGGGTATCACGTAATCTAACCTAATCCTGCACATACTGATTTGACCTACCCTAAACTAACCTTAATTATCCCAAAGCAACATAACCTAGCTAGAATCAACCTAAACTAATCTAACCTCATCAATTAAATCTGCCCCCTAGGTATGGCAGTGGCAATGGTGGTATTCAGGTTGGTGAAAATCCTGGAAAAAAATAAACGAGGTCCAATTAACAACAACAACATAACTCCAGTTTTCATAATAATAATAATTTCAAGTAAAATCTGCGAAATAAGGAAAGACTAAAGCCAACGTATAAAGTTAAGTACGGTGTGTGCTTGACTAGGTCTTTGCCTCACCCAGTCTTCGCTTGACCTCTTCTCTGAATCACCAGGTCTTTGTTTGACTCTCTCTCTCTCTCTTTTTCAGGTCTGCCTGAATCGGTCTTTGCCTGAATCGGTCTGTCGATCCAGGGCTTTGTACAGACGGCCAGGCATATATAGGATGATACAGAGAACGGTTCGTGCAGACACCGAGTCCGATGGAGACCGCGTGCGTTTGAGTCAGTGTGCGGCACAAACGTGGGTCATGCAGAGATCGGATCTGGCGGGGATTGTGTGGGGTTGATATTGACAAAAATTATGAAATTTTTCGAAAAATGCAGGACAATGTCCAAAAAGCGCACAAAAATAAAAAATTGAAAAATACCGAATTCAATTTTTTTCGAAAATTTAAAGTTATCTTCGCTTTTCATGACGTTTATAACGATTTTTAAAATTTTCGAAAATTTTGAAAAATTTCAATTTTCTTCAAAAAATTTGAAAAATCAAAAAATGCAGGAAAATGTCCAAAAAGAGCACATAACTGAAAATTTTTGAAAAATTCCGAATTCAATTTTTTCCCCGAATATTTCGAATTTTTTTTGTTTGGTGCGCTTTTTAGACAATTTGCGGCATTTTTTGATTGTTCTAACATTTTTAAAAATTGCAAGATATATCTTATAAATTTTACCTGACCAATCCTTATCAGAACTAGTCTCTGCCGGACCCGTCTCTGAAACAACACCGCTGTGCCTGGCAAGCTGCCGGCATACTGGGGGAAAGTGTGTTCGGTCTGACGATACACCGCCCTGCTAATAGACTGGCCTGCCTGGACGTAGCTTTATAGTACACCGTCCTGCCGGAATACCCGGCAGCAAGACACCAGCAAGCAGTAAAAACGGCTTGCCTGGTCATCGATCTGCGGACCGAAAACTTTGAAAATTAAATTTTTTTCAATATATTTATCAGTTTTTTATATTTTTATATTTCTTGAAAAACGAAATTGAAAATATTTGCCCTCGTTCCTATATCTAGGCAGGCATCTACTAAATCTCCAGTGTGCCTGGCAAGCTGCCGGCATACCGGCCTTCCGGGGTAAGTGCCTTCGGCCTGCCAATACACCGCCCTGCCGGTATACCGACCAAAAATTTTCAAAATTAAAACATTTTTAATATTTTATAAATGTATCATATTTTTAGATTATCCCCCCGATCCTATATCTAGGCAGGCCTGTATTAGATCGGTGTACCTGGCAGCTGCCAGCACACCATCCTGACGGTACACCGGCGTGACTATACATCACCCTGCAGGTATACCGGTGTCGTTACACTAGCCTGCCTATAGACCGGTCTGCCTGGACACGGGCTTGCCATTACACTGGTCCATCGGGGCAAAAATTTTCAAAATTAAAAATTTCCAGTATTTTTATAAGTTTTTATATTTTCCCATTTCTTGAAAATGTTCAATTGTTTTTAATTTTCAAATTTAAAACAATTTTGAATTTTTTTAAAAGAATTCTGTTCCCTCGTTACTACAGGATTATTCATAACTTTACAAAAGATCGCCAGACTTGAATGGTGCAAAGGATGGTAACATGCGACATGCCGATACAAAGAGAACCTCTCCAAGTTTACAGACGTAATGTGCTAGTATGTGGAAGTGAAAACCCACATGTCACAATTGAGCACATTCGGGATTCACCGAAACTGAACGTTTTCTGTGCCATATCCAAAGAGTAATAGCCACGGTGGTCTAGCGGTTAGAACGCTGACCTTGTAATCCTGGGGTCTCGGGTTCGAATTTATAACTTGTGTTGGGCAAGGCCGTGGTCTAGGAAACACGGAGTTTTCCTCCGTGGCATCCCAACAATTACTCCATTCACACACAGAAGAAGGCAATGGCAAACCACTTCTGGATCATCTGCCAAGAACGTATATGAACAGGTCCCAGTCCGAGAAAAGGAGGGAAGGATCCTGTTCATATGGACCTGTCGTCAGACACAACACTAAATAATAATAAGATGAGGTGGGCTAGCGGTTAGAACGCTGGCCTTGTAATCCTGGGGTGATGATGCAGGAATTGCTAATGCCGCAGCTTCATTATCACAGCGATGACTTCATTTATCAGCAAGATGGGGCTACGCCACACTACCCTCGCCTCGTCCGCGGCTACCTCAATCAGCATTTGCCACAACGCTGGGACGGATGCATGGCTGCCAGTGACCATGCGCTGCTTCGTTGGCCAACCCGATCACCTGACCTGACGCCATGTGATTTTTTTCTTATGGGGGGTACGTTAAGGACCAGGTCTTCGTGCCGCCTCTGCCACGGGATCTGCGAAGACGAATCATTACTGCCATCTCTCAAACCGATCTGACATGCTGCAGCGGGTGTGGGCGGAAATGGATTATCGGCTTTACGTCTGTCGCGTCCCAAAGGGCGGACACAGAGCATTTACGAGGTATGTAAAATAAACTTTGAGAGTTTCTCTTTCTATCGAAATGTCATATGTTACCATCGATTGCACCATTCAAGTCTAGCGATTGTTTGTAATGTGTCAGGGAATTATGAATAACCCTATACATGACATTACAACCCAGAAAACCAACACTGACATTTTCACTGTTATGAAAACTTAAAATCTCGAGACATAAATGCTTTAAATATGATAACCTCATACCTTCACTTTTATATCAGCCTTCTTACTTTCCATGTACACTCTGCATGTTACTTCACCTGCTTCGGGGACAGAACAATTGATTCACTTCTACTGAAATTACACTTGTTCATGCAAGGTATTGTGTCACAGGGCAAATGGATCAATAGCAGTAGGAGTTTACTGATGCCCATGTATTTTTGTCTCCCATTTGAAACACCAGTCATCTGGAGACTCACTAATGTTTAATGTATTGTAATCCAACTGTATTCATTCTGGCATAAGTTCAATACATTGTTCTTTTTCAACCAAATTTTAAGTGACAAAATTAACAATCTTGTTCTTGTATACAGCTACTAGACTGCTTTATAGTAACAACTCACATTGTCCCTCTACAACCAAAAAATGCATTTCAAAGGATTGAAATGAAACACTGTTTGCTGATAGCGCTGTTTCAATATAATTTCAATGATCAGGGCTTGGAAAATGTAGTCACACACTTATTTTGAAGAAGAAAAAACAACAACTGACTTTATGAGCTGGTCAGGACAGACTACACATGAATCACTGTGTAAAATTTGAATTTGTTCTTTTAGAACTTGACAATAATTTTTTTTTTGTCTAATGAGGACTTAGCATAATTTTTCAAGCCCTGTTCATGATACATCAAACATCATTCAAACAATTTCCTTCGTTTAACTATCAAGAGAGACAAATTTTTCTTCAGAAGGTGTGGTGTTGCTACAGACTGTTAAGAAAGCAATACTTTTCGATCATACAGAAATTAATAAACTCCTCCCACATGTCAGTCACATTTTAAAAACTTGGGTAAATCTTAGCCATTTCAAGAATAATGAAGGTATGAAGGCCAAGCCCTTAGCTGATCCATAAACATACAAAAGGCTCAGCTCACAATGAACACACGCATTACACACACACATTGTTCCTATAAATCTTCATTAATTGATTTCTTGGTCTCACTGGGACACCTGTATGGTAGGAACTAGGCCCAGTGAAACAGATAAACATGCAAGTCAGAACACTGTTACAACAGGTGAAACATATTGATTTCCTTTCTGTAATTCCTGGGGCACTTATCTGAACGTTAACAGCATAAGTGGCACTTGCAGTGATACTTAACCAAACCTACATACGCGACCCATGCAATGTTACATGACATGGTTTGTTCCAAGGTGCTACATCAACTGCACAGGTCATGTAATGTAAAACAAAATATGGCACAAATATTATGAACAATGACCTGGAAGAGATGCAAGAGAAAGCTGAGGTGGCCTATTTTAATGTATTATCCAGTAATTTGCTTGCAGGAATTGAGGGATATCCCAAAAACATTTCAGGAGAACAGTTCTTCTGCTGAGACTGGACCCTTGCACTTCCCAAATGCAAGTGAGACACATAACTTTATCTAATCTGTTCACTTTTCTGCGATGTTTCATGGCTTGGTTGATTTATTAATTTATTTCAAAATTCTACATGAAATTGAGATATTATGTGAGAAATTATGGATTATACTATGAATTGAGAGGGATGAAGGCACACGCCCAGAAGAAACATGCCGACGAGAAAGTCCAGTCACGCAAATTTATTAATATGTTCTGAATCTCTGTGCTAAGAGGGCAATGGCAGTGATTTATAAGAATTGATAACAAACGAGGTATCTGCTATGGCCCATTTCAATGTACCACACAAGTATTTCATTGGAGGTACTGAGGAATATAAAGAAACCCTTACATCAAGGACTTGACTTGAACACCAATAAACACCACATCATTATCTCAGATTTATTTTTCAGTCAGTGATAACTGAAAGAGAAATCAAGGTGGAACAGATGAGGACATGTATTACGTATGAAAGACCCTGCAACAATGAATTAGAACAAAATTCGGTTTCATTACCACACATGATTCGCTTAAACAGCTTGGCATCCCTAATTTAAGACCTACTTACACACATACACATGTTAAGAAAAAGAATGCTGCCCCTGAAGTCAACAGGAAATGATGTTGCCATTACGATCATATACGAAGTTGATCCCACAGCTGGGTCAAGCAGGCTGTCCTCCAAATCACTTAATATTAGCACAGAAACAATTCTATTACAAACAACAACGGCCTTAGTACACGTCAGTCTATAAATTCACACGTTAACAATACCGGTTAAGAAAGGTTGTATTTAGGTAATGACATAAAAAGTGAAGTCATGGCATTTACTCAAAAAAGACCAATCACAGTAAAACTTGTAAAACAACAAAATGTTGGGCCAACTGTATACCTTTAATTACCCACGATATAATTTGTCTCATAAAGGAGATAAATATCTAAATGTGAAACCTTACACCCGCTTCAAAATTCTTTGCATACTTCACAAAATTTCTATACCACTGTTAATTTCAAAACACACAAGAATCTGAATTTATGAAGCACTTCCCAGACCACACTATCGTGTGGCATTCGTTCATAGGCCAATACAATATTTAAAAAAAAACTTTTTTGACAATAAAGGAATTGAGAAAAGAATGCCAAAATTGAAAATTCATTTGAAACTACTTTTATACAATTCTATACAAGAAACTGGAAAAGTCATATTGAACAAACGAGCCCTTACTAGATATTAACCCACAGAAGAAAATGATGATAAATAACATTGTGTTAGCAATGGGACTCGTGGAAGTTCCTGGCAAAGAGACTATACCATAATTCACGTTATACAAGATGTGAAGCTACCACAATGATAGAACACATTGCAATGTAATGAAGTCAGAGACTGATGGTTTCCATCATCAGGGTTGTTGATGTGATGAGTGATGCATTCAATACATCTGCCGTTTTAGGATACTTTATTGACTTAAACACGTCCATACGGAAGGGTCATTCGGCAAAACAGCGTTAGGAAAATGTGTAAGATCCATACCAACGATGTGTAAATATGGACCGACAGAGGTCAGCTTTTATATGAACTCCTGCGTGCAGAGCAATGTTTTACTCCTTTACCTAAGAAACTAATTGTTATGTAATGTTTACTGCCGTCAACAATCCGCTTTCGTTACTGCGGAAACAGCTGAGCTGTGAAGTGCGTCGTAGAGTAAGTAATATTGTGCTGTTAAAAACGTTTTAGAATATCACAATTACTTGTCTTATATAAGAATTATTAAGAAATCTGTGATCCTCCATTTTAGTTTTGATTAAATTGGTCATTGACGGTGGACGTCGTGGTCTCTTACAATTGAAGAAAGTTTGAGGTAAGGGATTCCTATTTATTATTATTGTTAATCACATTTAATGTTTTCATCTGCATTTGTGAACTCGTGTAAGAGAATTAGGCTTCTCTTCTTTTGACGTAAATACGTCTACACGGAAGGGTCATTTGACATAAATAGCGTTAATTACGAACATGTGTAAGATCCAGCGCCGAGTCACGAAATGTTGATGTGTACAAATTTTATAACATATTTCAGCTACCACAGACCTATCTTAAACGTAACTAATTCAAGTTAAATAAGCGATGTCTTAATCAAACTATTTACTCAATTGTAAAGCATGTATAAAGGGAATATTTAGAATAAAGCTAATATTATATAAACTTCCTTTCATTGTATTTATTATCTAAATATAATTTAATTACAAAGACGTATTTACGTCAGATTCTCCGGAACCGTGGTTCCACTGTCAATTTTTTCCACTATCAAAACAATAATGCATGGCTGCACACTACTGTCTGCTACTTCCTTGTTATATAACTTTGTGAACTGTTCCCTTATTTCAGTCCAAATATTTTCCTCTGCACTGTGTGTTCTTCCTTCACGTTAAGAGACCACAGTGCACATTTGAGAGGTGGGACAAATTATAATTATTTTTCATTACCATGGAATCATTATTTTGGAAAGAAGATGGAACAGTAAGTTTTAACTAAATACTAACAAGGATTTCCAGAATTAATTCTTCTCCCAACATCACAAATCTCATCATTTGTATGTATTGTTTCTAAAATTTACGACAGCGTGTAAAATATAGTCAGTTTTACATTATCGATCTCAGAAAGTAACAATTAACTGCACACATTCCTTCATGAAGACATGTGGCAGGTTGTTCGTTCATTATTTTGCCTTCAACAATTCCTTAATTTTCTTACCACACGATGCCAGTCCTCATTTAATACCCAATCAATAAACTACAACCTTTAAATTTTCATGTTTCTCCTTGAAAATAGTTAGTGATGGTAAGAAAGAGAACATAAGTCAGTTTTGCTTTCAAGCAGCAGCCTCAGTTGTCACTGATTGATGTCTGCCCCTCCCTCCAACTGGCAGCCAAACAGTATTGTCAAACAAGAAAAAACCTATAATGCTGACCACAGGGAAATTGCATTTAGTGTTCCAATGTGAAGAGCAGAATGTGTACCTGTGTCTAACATCTCAAAACTATAACACGTTAAATGTTTCATAAATACCGTTAACATCAATGGCGTTGTTACTTAACAAGTGAGTATACGGAATAAAATATTAAAAAACAGTATTTTACATATATCGGTCTCTGAATGTCTCGGCCAAATCCCAAGTAGTTCCACTTTCATCGTACAGACATAACCAAAATACGTCACGATGACATTCAACATAACCTACCTTAGTGCCAATGAGACTTGATGCAAAACGCACAAGGACTGCCATAAGTCACGATCGGATGGTCTACACGGCGATACGAATTCCTCATTAGTGAAACAAACAAGATATATTCGTTATAATTATGTTATGTGTGCGGTGACCGGTGAAGAATAATGGCGGAAGACGCTGTCGGACGCAGAGGGCATGGTTGTCACGTGACACTCCACGGTTGGGAATCCCAGGTTTGCAGAGGCGTGTCCTCCTACGCAATAAGAACAAAGAGTATGTTTTTAGCGTTCTGTGACGTAGACAACGGATGCGAGTTCATTGAAAGTTGAACTGCCAAAGATATGATGAAATACGAGCGAACTTTTGCCTTGCGTTTTAATAAAGCAGCCCCAACTGGCTATAAAATTACAGAAATAAATAATTAACCTGAATTCAACTTGTTATGAGATGTGGAACATACTAACAAGTTGTCACTGACACCTGTGTTTTGGAAGCGTTTCAAAGAATTGTGTGTTTGTAATACTTAACAGGAGCTAAGTGGAAAGAAGTTATAATACTGTATGAGTTGTTGGTGAAAAGAAAGAACCTGACTTCTTTGCTGAAATTGAATGCAAACAACCACTTTACAGACGAAGGTAACAGAACACAAAAATATGACAATAGTAACAATATATAGTAAATATATAGTAAAACAGCAACAATAACAACAAAAGTGTAAGTGTAAAATTAAAAGCATTAGTAACAATAACACTAATAGCAAAAATAGAATTTTAGTACAAAGACAGCTATCTTTCAAGTGTATTTCAAAAGATTAAAACTTCAAAAGCACGTATTAGTTGTCTGTCCACATGTAGCTGCACCCAACCTAAAGGATAACCAATTCTGATCAAACTTAGTATAGTAGGCTTATACTGCAGTGTCAAGCCATTTGATTTTGTATTAGTTTGAGTAACGTTATAGTCCTAAATAAACTTTCACATACATATTTTGAGGTCCTTAATAAATTGTGATATGAGCCGGGATAGCTCAGTCAGTACAGTGACTGGACAACCGGGGTTCGATCCCCGACTGGGGCCTAGGATTTTTTTCCTCTAGCCTCTGCGTCCAGACCGGCTCTGGGGCCCACCCAGCCTCCTCTACAATGGGTACCGGGGGGTCCTTTCCCGGGGGTAAAGCCGGCCGGGGCGTGATGCTGACCACTCACCCCCATCTAGTGCCGAGGTCAAGGAAGAGAGGAGCTATACCTCCTCTCCCCCCCAAACGCCTACATGGCGTATAGTGGGACAAACTTTACTTTACTTAATGAATTGTGATGAAACGCATCTCCTTGTTTCAGACCGTTCTGAAAAGGAAATGCATTAAGCAAGGTTTCATTTTAATTAGCCTAATTAGTTTCAGGGGTTTTTCAAATTGAATGAGAACAATGTACAGTCATGGCCTATTCTTTAAGTACATAAACAGTTCATGAACTGTCCTATTGTAAACCCCCTCCCCCCCCCCATTTCTGAGGCTGCAGTGCATCAGCTTCTTATTTTTAATTACATAGGAATGTAACTTCTAAGAAATGTGGATATCTCAAAACAGGATTACATGGGATGTAAAGGTGTATTATCTAATCTTGAGAAGATAAATTTACATGCATGATCACTGTATGTATTTGCTGACTATTATTCTTTGAAATACAACTTAAACTTGTTCCATTAAAGACTGAGTTTTAATGTCATGTCATGGAAATGAGTCCATGACATAATTTTGCAGCCCCTCCATTCAGTAATATCAACACTGCAACCACATAATTACCAAAATGAAAGGAAATCAATCAACTGAATTCAACGCTGACTGACTGACTTTCTATGTCAGCATTGGCACTGGTTTTCTTTTATTGTAGTATATTTCAACATATTTTTCTTGTACTGTTTTTAACATGTGATATATAGAACTTCACATATGCTTATTATGTGGCAATGAATGAGAAACTGAATTACGAATGCAAATGATGATCGACTGACACTGGCCTAATCGCAGGAAATGACTAAGCAAAACTGACAAAAACCTCGGTGGTGTA